TTGCAAATGGTTCAGAGTAAGTCCCACAACCCAACCGGCCATTCAGTTTTGTGCCGTCAGTGAAGATGAATACGGATATTTTCGATACAGAACTATTTCATTTTCTCATTTACTTCTCTCTGGCATGTTTATTGAAAAAACAAAACACAATACACAAACAAAAAAAAATGAGGCAGAATTCAGTACAAGGATCGAATTGCAGCTCGCTTGTATTTTCTCAAACAAGTATGTCCGGAGAAAATTGAGGAGGATTTCGAGTGTTCGTAGGAGTTGAAGGCAGCGCGCATTGAAAAAGTATGGAGGCTGTCCACTGAACTTTCTCCAGCTTGGGCTTTGATATACTTGTTAAACCCAAACACTTGCAAAGGATAAGGGCTCAGTTTTAAATAATTTTAGGAATAGCCGACCTCAGCCCATACTCCCACCAATTAAAATATGTTAATATACTGTTTGCTTAACAACAATAGCAGCAATAACAAAAACTTTTGTTTTTTAACAAAGAGTTTATAATGAGAAATAAAATAGTTTAGTCAGAGGACAGTCAAAAAAAAATATAAAATTTTTTCTTTCATTCTAGAACCAATATGAGTATCACTTCCATCCATCCACAGCTCATTCAACCAACTCTTCAACTAACGTTGCTTAAGATTCAACAAACAAATACAATAAAAAGCAACAAAAGGCGTTGTGCGTTATTATTTATCACAAAAGAGCGCAAGAATGGCAAAGAAAATGTAAGAAAAAGCAATAATAAAAAATAAAAAAAAGACGAAATTTGCAACAACAAAGCACAAAGTATTAATAAAAGAGCTCAAAAAAACTAAATATAAAAGATAAGGCTAATAAAACAATAAAAATATAATATAATAATGAAAAAATAAAACAAATAGCAACAAAATAAGTAACAGTAACTCAATACGAGCATGAACACTACTCGCCGAAGTCGCACACTACACGTCACATAGTTATAATATTTAACTAAAGAGCCAAACAAAAGTTTGCATTTCAACAAATATTTGTCTTTAATTATATACACAGTATATACATACATACATGTGTATTATTATTATTATTATTTTTTTTTTTTGTTTTTTTTTTTTGTATCAAAACCGCAAGTTTCAGTTCGATTCGTTTCCATTAGATGTCAAACAACTTTACTTCCGAGTTTTTAGGCAAATTTAAGATAAGCAAATTTATTTAAATTCGTGTCTATAAATTTTTAATTAATTTTTTATTCCAAGTTTGTGTTGTTATGCATGAATCACGTCTGCTGTTCAAGCCGAAGACTTTTTCATGAGATTTGTAGAATTTGCCAGGAATTTATTTACTACGACTGGAATTAATAGCACTTAATATATAATATATATATTTTTAATCTTATTTAAATAGTCAAAGCACATTGACCTTCATTAACATTCTCTATGAATTCATTTGTATTTAAAAAAAACCGGAGTTTTCTGCACTAAATTAAATAAGCATGTCTTTGATTAAAAATGATTTTGAAGACAGTTGTTTAAAAAAAGTATCAAAAACAGTTAAACCTCCCTTAATGGGCACCTCTAATAAGCGAACACTTTTTCCAGTCCTTTCAACTTTTTCCCCCTACAAACTCACCTCCGATAGCCGGGCGCATCTATTAAGCGGCCAAAAAATCTAGTCCCGTTGGTGCCCACCTATTGGGAGTTTCACTGTATATACATATGTATGTAATGGGCGCTTTATAACCGATGAAGCGATTTCGATCACCTCTTCGAAAATTAGTCCGGAAAGTTTTCCCTTAAAATATCGTTGAATAAATCTTCTGTTTTCCTAGCCCCAAATGCGACAGTTTTGCTTATGGACATCAGTCAAGATGATTTTTCGATGAAGCATTTATAGTGATTTTTAACGATTTCAATGCGTTGTTGAAGCGTGTATCGTTCCATATTTATTATTGACGCAGTTTTTACTTGCCAAATATCAAAAAATTACAGCTTCAAAAGTGGCATCTACCAGAATGGCAGGCCATTAAAATAACATCTCTTATTGAATTGAGTTGAGTTGATGCGATTGTTGGTCAAACCTCAGCACATTTAGACCAATAGGCCCATTGTGATACCGTTGGGGCTCCTGCCTCTAACCTCTCAAATGATCAAACCATTTAGTGTGCCTTGTTCATTGAGACCAACTCAGCGAGACAGTCATAGAAGTGTTTACCAAGAAACTTGTGGCACGCGGATGCCAAGGCTGGACAGTGACAGAGGTAGTGCTCGATAGTCTCCTCCTCTTCTTCGTCCCTACAGCGGCAGCAGAAATCGTTAGAGTAAAAGCCCATCCTAATCTCGTGAAGCCGCATTAAACAGTGTCCAGTTATTATACTCGTCGCTATGTTAATGGAAAACCCGGTCCAGTTCAAGCATGTATTTAGCCGTGGACAGAGGTAAAAGAGCATTATGCGCTTGTTTTATAGTAGATCCTCTTGCGAGTTCGTCTGCCATGCAATTGCCTGGGATGCCTGTGTCCAGATACCCATACCACGACAGTACTGTACTTCGTTGAGAGTGTTTCTACAGTTTATGACCACTTTTTTCGTGGTACCGTTATATTGAAGAGATCTGATTGCAGCCTGACTATCGGAGTAGATTGTTACTGATTGTCCCGCTGCCATATATTTGTGCAACCATTCCGCGGTCTCCACCTTTTATTAGAAAGCTCTTTATTTTTATGAAGAGCATTTATTTTCTAGTCAGAAATTCATTTAGAGGGCTTGATAAATTTTTAATAAGTTTGTGTGTTGGTTGAACCAGAACTCGAACCCTGGTATGGGGTCACTCGGCTATTGCGGCCGCCATTTAAAAAATATAGAGATAGATTTCTTTTTGAGGCTCGAAAACAACTTGAAGTTTGTATTGGATAATCAAAAAACTCTCCACGGTTTTTGTTCCAAGATGCTGTTGGTACTCTCATTTGAGGCAATACTAATCCGATTGTGCTAAACTAACGCGTGTTTAAAAGCTGGAAATTCAGATAATATTTTTTGCGAAGACAGTTCTCTTAATCATAATTCGTGAGGAAAGTTATTTTGATTAGAAAAATAGCAAAATTTCTGAAGATTGTCGCGTTTCTTCTAAACCATGACTAGTTGGAAAATGGTTATGATTTACGGTGAAAATGCTGTAAGTGAACGACGGACTCAGCAGTGGTTTACTTGAATCAGCTCCGGTCATTTTGGTACCAAGGATGTACCTCGTTATGGTCTGTCACCTACTCAAAAAGCCGATGAGATTTCGCAACTAATGGATCAAGTTCAGCCTAAAAGCTGTCAAGCGACGGCGGTGAAATTGAGCATATTTTTGAAACCAGATAACATCGAATACTTTATGAAACCACTCATCACGGGTGATATAGAACTAAAAAAAAAAATCGTTTTAAAAATCCTACGCAGACACTGAATTGACATATTGTGGGATTTGTAGGGAATGGTTCATCATGAGCTTCTAAAACTTGGCGAAACGATCAGTGCTGAGTTCTTCTATTAGCAATTACAACAGCTTGGGAAGCTTTGATGTATGCATCCCCATATAGCCGCTTCTTGCACCATCTGACTACTATTATTTTCCTTATCTGCAAAACTCTTTTTATGATAAAAATTGGTCGGCCAAGGCAAGCTTTTTGCAAATAAGCCACAGTAGTTGTACACTAAAGCGGAGGCAACTAGTATACTTGCGTTAAAGAGTAAATTCAACAGCGACAATGAAAAATTATTTCCATTAATCGATTTCATTTTACCTCCTTCGCTCAGATATAGTCTTTTTTATGTTCTTCCACCAGCAGGTATTGTAAGAAAACCTTTTGTGAGTGATGGTCGTATTGTATTAATACAGTCTAGCTGTTGGATCTTAAGCCCCTCAACTATATCTTTGTTGTTGAATATATTTCTATTGAGAAAATTTGACATCACGAACCACATACCCAGAGCACAAGGGCCAATTAAAGCTTCCCAAAACCTTACTCTCCAAAAATTTATTGCCATCGGATAAAGAATTTGTTATATGGTTAACGGTGTAGTAAACGACTTAAAGAGCACGCCGTAAAAGAACGGACAATATTGATATCATGAAATTATTTCCACAGTCTCAAGAGTGAATAGATACGGTGAATGGTTCTGTTAAGGAACAATGACAATACGAGATATCGCCGCCAACACACAATCACTCTAATAGAAACCAGCAGGTTGTATTTAGCTGGCATTATATTTAAAATTTGTCTGACCGCTAAATGAGCTCCACCTCCTTTCAATCAGTAGTAGAATCTATAAACTTCAAGGTACTTCGGAAGGACTGAACTGATATTATTAAAAGTTTGTATTTCACTCATCAAAAGTACACGCGGAGGAGGGGGTTGATAAATCTTTAAATGAGATAACCATATTTAGAAAACACCCTATAGTTTTGATGTTGGTCGGGGCAGGACTCAAAGGAACAACCGCCCATCGTGCGAGTTGCCACTGGTGTTAGTTAGAACAAATTTTTTTTTTTTTTGGATTGAAAATTAGTAATTTTAATTCGAATGTGGAATGTGGCAACCTTCAACAAAAAAATTCTGGATAAAATCTCTAAAAATCTCAACAGATTTATTAGAATCTGGTAATTGTTGTAAGAATTTTATATCTAAAATATGTGGCAATCCTATATCGATATTAAAAGATATTAAAAGAGTGACACCTTTATTGCCCATGAGCTTGTTGTTGTTAAAGGTGAGACTGTATAAATTTCATTTACTTTGAGTTAAAAACATATTATTTAAAATATATGGCAACCCTATCAAAAATATTTTTAAATTTTGGATAAATAAAATAGCATTCACTTGATCACAATATTTCATTATTTTCTTTAACTTCTTAATAATTGCGATAGATGGCAACTTTGTGCTCTTATATGTATGCAGAGCAGAATCTTTGAGAACTTTTGTTCCAACTTCATATTCAATATTCAATTATTATTATTTCTTTTTGTACTCACCTTTCTCACCATCATCGTAGTACTCTTCTTCTTCGCCCTCCTCAGCATCATAATCCAACACAGCATGCACTTGGGTACGTGTACCAACACCGGCTTGAACACGCGTGAAACCCGGTGGCCGATGAGGATATGCCTCATTACCGCCGGAGCCACCATCGGCACCAGCAGCAGCGCCGCCCAAATTCTCTTCTCCCCCATTTACATCATCATCTGCGCCAACCGCTGGCGCTGGTACTGCACCGTACACCGCAGCCGGTTGAGGCGCTTCGGTAGGCAATGCGGCGCCGTAACTTTGTTGGTTTGTTTGTTGTTGTGTTTGAGTCTTTAATTGGGATTGTGCAACAAATGAGGAAGTACTATGACTATAGGAATTATAATATTGTTTTTGTTGATGCTGTTGTTGTTTTTGTTGCTGTTGTTGTTGTTGTGGTGGCGTAGCAGTGCCGGCCGAAGAACCAAAACGATTATAAGAACCCTCACCATAGGTTCTAGTTGATGAAGAGGAGGCCGCAGAGGCGGCTGAGGCAACGGTCGAGGCGGAAGTGGCTGCCTTGAAAGCGAAATTATTGCCATTGATTTGTTGTTGTTGTTGTAGTTGATGATGCTGTTGATGTTGCTGCTGCTGTTGCTGTTGTTGATTTATGCTGAAATGACTAAAATGCTGTTGCTGTTTTTGTGCTTGCTGCTGCTGTTGTTGTTGCTGCTGTTTTTGGTTATTAAATTGTGTATTGCGCGCACCAGGCGGCGGTATGGGCGGCAAGTAGGTGTTGCCACCTTTCAGCCGATTATTATTGCTATTATTATTATTATTATTGTTATTGTTGTTGTTGTTATTGTTGTTATTATATTGATATGACTGACGTATCGGTTGGTGTTGTTGATGCAATTGCGGCGGCGCATACGGATTGTTTTTGTAGAAATCTGACTCAGGCGACGGCGGCGCATCATCGCCCTGCTGCTGTTGATGATCGGCCGGCGAGTAGAGTAAATTATTTGTGTTCGCCGCCAATTGATGGGCGGGATGCAGCGGCGGTAGGGTGGCACTCCACGTGGGCACTGGTTGCGTCAAAGCGCCAAAGGGCAATGAGAAATTTGTTAACGCCATTTATTTGTTGGTTTATTTTTGCTTATTTTTATTGTATGTTAGTCACTTGTAGTTGTTTTGGTTGTTGTTGCTTTTACTTTTTAGGCTTTGTCAGCATTGTAACGCACGGTAAAGCATTTTTATGCAAATGTTTTGCTTTTACGTGAAAAAAAATATAATATATTTTTTGATGTGTAGCAATTTTTGATGGCAGCCAAATGAACTTAATACTAATTTGGGGGGAAAAATTAATATTTTAAGATGTTTTTATATTCGTCACTCCTTTTCCAAGCTTCAAAAGTTTTATTCCAATAAAAAAGGCCGTATGAACTCAATTTATGCTTTTTGTGACCGTAAATATTTTTTTTATCATTTTTTTATGTTAATTATTATTTATCCAAGATATCTGTTAAAACTTTAGGAATTCTAAAATCACAAAAATTTTATAAAACAAAAATACTTATTGAAAATCTCACTTAAACATAAAAAAATGTTCTTGCTTAATTTATTTTTTGTCTTTTGCTGCTTTCTTTGATAAAAAAAAAGAACTTGATACCCAAAATATATGCACATACCTACATACGTACAATTTTAGTAAATATTCCGATTTATTTTGGGGTTAGAAAAATATCACAAAATTGTTGTGCTTTAGCTCTCATTATAATTTTATAAATTAAAAAGAAATATTTTTTCTTTCCTAAAAAGGATGTCAACATAATTTCAGTTTAGTTGAAAAATTAAACTTTGAAACCAAAAGGTTTTCATGTCGTTTTTTCATAATATTGGTCAAGTAAAAAGTTCGTTCTTTTTTTTATTAATTTTTCAAAATTAATATTTTTTCTTTTTATTAATTTTAAACATTATAAAAAGGAAGTTACTTTTTCGACTGTTATCTAGATCAGATTTATTATGACGGTAAATGACTCACCCGGGAAATTCATCAAATAAGAGTTAAATACGTGTGATTTATACTGAAAATGTTCTACAATATTTTTTTTCACCTTTTGTTTTTTGCTCAAAAGTAGTATTAGGTTTTAGTATTTTCTTCAATGAAAAAAAAATCCGATTTAATGAAGTTATGAGGCTGGTTTCAGCTGAAACCACCAAACACCGTCATAGCATAGGTTGTAACTGTGTGCAATGGCAACAAAGGAAAATACATCCAATATTAGCTCAGGCAGTCTTGAAAGGACTGTCTAATGACAGATACAACCAATTGGCATCACATGAGTGAAGAATGGGTAAGGCAGAAATACATATTGAACAAGACTTTGCCCTACCGGCATTGTCATTCTGATGGCCAGCGTTCAAGTCCTGGCTCGAATCCTGGTTCGACCAACATCTAGAATTATAAATAATATATTTTTTCTAATTATGGTAGCCCCTCGGTAGGGAACCCCAGTGCATTTCTGATATGAAAAAAAAACTTCTCATAAAAATCTTTTGACCCTGCGGAGGTGGCGTAGTATAAACTGTAGGTCCCTCCATGTTTTTGGAAAAAAACCTGTCTATAGCACAAATTGGCGAAGAAGCTCGGCTGAAAATCGCTTTCTGTGATTATAAAGCGTTAGTCGTATATATTAGGCCTAGTAAAAACTAATCCATTATTGTTCCAATAGATGTCCTTATTTAGCTGTATCTCGCGTTGTAGAAGTCTGATCGGGTTACGCTAGGTAGCATTAGAAAGGCGACATTTTGTGCTAAAACAACTTCTCTGACAATTTTGTGGTTGATTAATTCAGTTTTGTTTGAGCGTGCGTCAAAAATTGACTCTAGCAAAGAGAAATCACGCCATTTTTTACGGTTTTTCTTCCATTAGGGCAAAAATGTAAATAACGTTTAAATCCTGATACTGTTACAATCAACCATGTAAAATATCAGTTTACCGGTACGAAATTTTGATGTAAAAGATGCTTCACGGAGTGGCAGGCCAAATGTTGAAATTTTCGATAAAATAATGGAAATGGCCGAGTCTGTTTTGATTGCCTAAGAGCTAAAAATTGCATGAAAATCCGTTTGGAACCGTTTGAATAAGGCTGGATACGAAAAACAAAAATAAAAGCCTTCAATTTCATGCAAAAATAATGGATTTCTTTATATTGCACCTAATATTAGTGTTATTATATTTGCTTATAAATTTATTTAAAGTTTAATGTAGAATTTATTTAAACTCATTCATAAAAAAAAATAAAAAATTTTCACATTTTAAGCTTTTGGAGTGTAAGGAATTTTAAAAAGCAATTTTAGAACTTAACAGGCGTTTTTGCCTTGATAAATCCTTAAGAACGCGAATTTTGCAAGCATTAGAAAGAAAAAAATTATAAAAAAAATAACTTATATAATTTTTTATGTGCGTCGCTGTGTCTCTCTAAAAAATGCTGGGACATTTCGGATGTTCTTATTTTTTTGGTTCAGAAATACTTTCGATAGGGTTGATATTCTCTGTCATGGACCTACTGCTTATCGAAAAAAATTTTAAGCTTTATTTCCATTTAAATGAGGATTGTTCAATTAGTACATTTACTGTATAATATTCATTTCTATTATAAATAAAATTTATTCATATTTAAGTTCAACTACCGTACAAACTGGAGTGAAACTAGAAAAAATATGGATTTACAATATTTAAAAAAATATATTTCCTAAATATTTATATTTTTATTGTATTAATTCAGAAGCGTTGATGTTTAAATTAAGAACGGAACCCAGCAGTTAACATACCGTTACAAAAGAACACTGCGTATACTCTACTTTTTTTAAATTTCGAAAGACTTAAGCGAGAAACTCGACCTAAAACTTAACTATGATTTTACGTACAAAATTTGTTGCAAACAAAATTGGAATATTTTTGCCTATTTTCTTATATATAAGTCCACTTGAAATCCTTTAAACTATTTTTTTTTTTAATTCTATATATGTATTTTTGAACTAATTTACAACTTCAAGCAAATAAATTGTATTAAATTAATTTATGTATTATTTCATTTCATTGATTTTTTTGTTTTGTTATTTTATATAGGTACATGCGTGCTCATCATATATTCACCACTCACATCAATAGCTTCGTCTTGTTTCTTTATAATTTTTATTTTATTGCATTCACTCGCATACGCAATTCAATTAGCTAACCAGCGTTCAGTGCGCCAAGCGTTTTGTTAGTGAATTCTTAAAAATTTGCACATAAACACAAAAATTCTAATTATTTTAACAAACAAACAATTCGCGACATAAATGCTAAACACAATATATTATATATATGTACATATGTTAGGTGTAAATATGTATGTATTCACTCAAAATTCGCGCGCCCTCGAACAAGAACAAAATATGCAAAGTGCGAAAAAAATAAATGAACACAAATACAAGCACATACAGAAAAAATCTTTTTTGCAATTTTCATGAAAAAAAAATGTTTATTTTAATTTTGTATTTAATTTTTTATTTTTTAAATAAATAATTTTTATTTTTTTTTTTTAAATTATTACTCAAGCTGCACGCAAACCAATCAACGCCGAATTGATTCTGTTAAATGAGTTTTTTTTTTAATTTTTTAAAATTTTCTGCCCAAAGCTGAGCACCAAGCGAATAACCGAACCGTTCACGGCGAGTAATCGCAAACGACTGACAATTCTGCGTTGTCGCGTTAACCCGTTAAAACTTCAAGCCACAAGAAAAATGTAATGAGACAGACAAGCATTTAAGGGACACGAGCATAACGAGCTTACAGTTGTACTACCACAAATAGTGAGGGGTTAAATATTGAAATAAGATTTACTCTGTGCCTGCTCCAGCTGAGCTGAGCTGAGTTGAGCTGTTGCCATTACAGCACCCTCGCTCGCCCATAGCGTTTACAATAATAACAAATGCAAAAGACAAAACTCAGCACTCGCTGCTTATTCACGCTCAACACTTGCCCAACTTTGAAGTTCACAGCGCCAATACAATAAGCCAACAACACGCTCTCGTTTCACCCGCAAGGTAATCGCACAAAATGCGATAATAACAATAAAAATACCAAAAGACTGCAAATAAACAATGGTTAAGCTCAGTAAAGCACTCAGTAATAACAATAATAACAAATGTGTGTGTAAGATCAACAACAACAACAACAATAGCCTTACTGAAAGCAAAAGTGATTTTTCAACAGTTCGATTTTGGTTTTCAATTTCGATTCGCTGCGATCGATTGTTGAGATGTTAAGCGCTTGACGATATACGTTTGTACTTGTGTGAGCATGATTTTGCATATTTTTCACACTCTTTAAAGATTCTCTTAGAAAATATTATTCTCTTAATTTTTTGTATTGTAAAATATTGGTCTAGTAAATCATATTTGCAAAGCTGGATTCAGTGCTTTGTATCTCGCGTTCTATAAGTGCAATCGGATTGCGCTAGATGATGTTAGAAAGGTGATATTTTGATGATGTTAGAAAGGTGATATTTTGAACTCGTCACGAACTTTGAGAACTGTGTTGGAAGGTTCTTATGCATCCACCTTTTAGTCTAGATTTCGCATAAAGTGATTACTATCTGTTTCTGGCTATGCCAACTGATATGGCTGGTGAACAATTGGACTCAAATTTTTAAAAATTTAAATTTTTGCCAATAAGGACGAAGATTTGTAAGAGAGGGGCGTAATGACATTACTTTCAAAATAGCAAAAAGTTAATATGCAAAACGTTGCATATTTGGCATAAGTCGGAAAATTCCAAATATGATAAATAAAGCCATTTGAAGGCAACAATAATGGATTATACTTTATTAGAGCAATATTTTATGTATCAACTCGAACACAGTAACTGCGTGCTTGGAAGTACATGCCCCTGTACAAAGCGTTATGTGTTCGTATCTTCGCCATACAAGCATCCAAAATTATTTTTCAGAATGCGGCTGCCACTTTGTAGGGAATGTCAACTTCTGAGTGTGTATTTAAGGCTTGAAATATAAAGTTCCAGATCAGTAAAATATCCTTTAATTTGTAGCGAAACCGCTTAGATGCCAACCACAAATTGATGAAGAACCTCGGCCAAGTTGTATGGCGTTATAAAGTGCAAAGTAGGAAAAATCCCTATTGTAATTGACTTAAATATGCTTATTTTGTGCGAATATCAAAATGGAAAAAATATACCGTGCGACATCGATTAAAAGTAAATCAAAACAGATTTAGTTTCCTTTCGGTAAATTAAAACCATTGTACGATGTTCTCAATTTATTAGGTCAAGTAAGAAGTTCGTTCATTTTTTAGAGATGGCGTTATTGTCCATAGTATTTTGGCATATTTCTTAAGATTCTAAAGAAATTGGTGTTAAATTTTTCCAAAAGTCAACTTAGGCTTCAAATACAAGTTTAATACTTGGGTAACACATAAAACAAATTTCTTTTAAACTTCCTAATGGAGTTTAGAGTTATATTTAATATGCTAAATACATTTATATTTCAAATATAGTTTTATAAATTTTTACACAAACTGATTTTATAAATTCTCAAGCTTTAATAGAACGAATAAAATATGTAGAATAATCATAAAACATGAACATATATTGAAGTATAGAAGAATATTCTGCAATTATAATTTTGTTACAAAATGACGGTGATAAAGTCCAATACTTAATAAATATTTTTTTAATGGAGTTCACGAAAGGACCGATTTCTTTTAAGTTATGAGACCTAGACAGAAAAGCAAAGATTTTCATGATCTACAAGCTATGGTATTTGGAAGTACGTGCGGATATATTAGGCCAAGTAAAAAGTTCGTTCGGTTTTTATCTAAAAGATGGTATCATTGTCCATAGTACCAGTGTTACGTGCTGTATCATGTCATACTATACGGCGCTGAAAACGCGTTTATTCACACTAAAAGTTTGTCTTTGACAGTTTTTCGATTGATTGATTAAGTAAGTTGTGAGCGCTCGTCGAAGATGGACACCAACAAAGAGAAAATTCGTTAAATTTTACAATTTTTCTTCGATCAAGACGAAAAAGCGGCTGAAAAAAAATAATTTAGTTTATAGGACCGATACTGTAAACGAACGTGCAGCACAAAAGTGGTTTGCTAGGTTCCGTTCGGGGAATTTCGTCGTGTCTGGTGGGATTGGTAAGGAATCGTCCACTGTCCATGGCCTCAAGTGGCGCCTGTGAAAATTGGCTCTCCGAGCTTTTTGCCAATAGAGAGGCAACGTTCTACGAGAGGGATATAGTGAAGTTAGCATCTCGTTGGCAACAAGTTAACGAATAAAACGGCGCATATTTGACTTAAATGGGGCAAATGTACACAAAGTTATCATATTTTGAAATATCAATAAAAACCCGAACGATATTTTTACTTGACTTAATATTATTTAACTAATTTTTGTGAAAAGGGGCACACTTTTTTTTAAAAAAGGTGCCAAAAAAATATGCGCTAATTATTTAAAAAAGAATTTCCTTTTAATCGAAAAACGGCTTCGTACTTCCAAAAAATATATATTTGCAAAGCTACCATCACAACTTCTGATAAATCGATGCAACAGGGTCCAAATAATCTATCCACTCAGTTCGAAAATTATGAAAACCGCGTTTAAACTTTTCATTTTACTTTACTTTAAAACCAATTGTATCTCATTTCATGGCCCCAAAAGTACCCTGTGAGAAAAAAATCGTTTTCCAAAATCCTTCAGTGTCTTTACCGCTTAATACGGGCAGGCATTCAATTAATTAGGTTATCTAAAATATCTGGAGAAGAGATGGTCCAAACTCGTTCAACTTAATCCAGAGTTCATTTTTATTTTTCGGTGTTTCCCTTTGAGCAATTAAGCGTTTTTTATAATCGCCCAAAAGCTTTCTATAGGATCCATATCGGGTGACTGAGCGGGCCACTCCATCACCCGAATTCCGTTATTTGCCAACCAAGATTTTGTAAAACAGGGAAATAGTAGTGGGTAACCGGCTGCATACATATCAAATCCTAGATTACAAGGGCATTTATTGCTTACACGTAAGGAATGCAAGGCGTTTGTTGGCCAAAGGAATGGACAAACCCCACTAGAAGCGCAGATAGGAAGACATAAGTGAGGCGTTAGAGCGTCTCCGCCGTTTCTGTTCGCTCTTGACTGAAGTCTAGATATCTTCGAGCTTCGCAATTTAATGGACTAGAGAAGGCTTGAAATTTGGTTATTAAAACTCTCTTGAGCCTCGCAATAAAAGTTGACGTCCTCTACGACGACTTTTTTAGATTGCAATAAAAAGCGACCTCTAACCCTTCAAAAACCTAGCGGCTTTATGTAAGGTGCATTAGCTGGATGGAATAATCTAATTTAATTTTCTTCAAAATCTGTATAAGATCACAGGTAACTGATCTTTTAAAATTCATCATTGTGGTGATGTGTATCGGCAGCTAAGCTCAGTAGTAGGAAAGCATCGGTGTCGCGGTTGACCATGTTCTATTCTTGGTGAAAACGTTATCTGTCAGCAACTAGCGATCATAACTCAAAAATTTGAAAAAAAGTTCCGGACGCTCACCAATCAGTAACTGAACTAGAAAAATATTCTCATTCCTTAAAAATTAATATAAAAATAAACGTAAATATGTGAGCTCAACAATACATACTTGGACACTTACTAATCACTCAGCACTTTCGTGATGTTAAACAGAAAACAAAAGACTTAAGCAACGAACTTGACATTTACAGTAGCATTGCACGTGATACATTTTGCTGAATATGTGTATGTATGTATGCAATAAGTAAATAAAATAAATTGTTTACATACACAAATAAAAAATACTAATAGAAATTCTATAATTTCTACCTCAAATTGTTGTTATTTCAGTCAACAACTTAATTTACACAACTCCATAGCAGCACTCGGGTGCGTAAGCACTTATTGAATTTAAGAAAAATTTAATTTATTATAAACAATATTAAGTCACAGCAATTACGAGTACTGCAATTATAAGTGCTCACACGCTTGTCATAACGACCGACATAACGAGGAAATAGCGCGACGAACTAATAAGTCAAATGAGTTGAGAGTTGTTGAGTTAGAGAGATCACGCGGTGTGGTCAACAGATGTCAGCGATTAAATGGCAAACTTTATACACATAAAGCAACAACAACAACAACTACTACTGCACTCTCAATTTTCAGCGGATTTCATTACCGGCAAACGCACAGCTGATTTAGACGCGGGATATAGAAAAGCATGCAGGCAATCTGACACACAGTCAGACAGTCAGACAGGCAGCTTTCAAGCATGCCAACCCAACTGACAGGCCTTCACTTACAATACCTGACTAATGCCTGACTTGTCGCCGCAATGTAAGCATGTATGAGTGTGTGAACAAGCTCATCACTACGCGCTGTGCACGCTTTGAGCCGGAGTGATGCTTGTCAGCGCGA